ATATGAAATATTAATCCTACCTTAAAGAAAATGAAAAATGAAAAATATAAATGATATCTGAATTCAATGCTAATATATATATATAAAACTTGGGTGTCTGGTGTTGGTGAGACTGCGTGTTGTTGAAATCGTAGCCGTTGCCGATGATGGGGGGGGAGTCACTGGTGTTGATGACAACCCACCGGCTCGTTCTTCACAGATTTTCTAGCCGTCAATAATCCGTCCAGATGACAGGAAAGCAGGTTTTTTTCCACTGCAATGATGAGGGGTTATATCCTGCTACTTGCATACACAAACAGGTAAGTGGATCAGAAATTGGGACGCCTCAGAACGTTAGTCCGCCTCCTTCAATTTCTACTCGTTGATTAGCAGGTGACCCTCTCTGTCCTTTCAAGAGTAGTGTTGGGAGCTGTGAGTCGAGTGATTTACTGTTTGACCGGAGCCCCACACGTCACCTTTCGGGGGGGGGGGAGAAGGGAGGGGAAGGGATAGCGGGAGCTAGACTGACCCTACCTTAACAAGCAGCCGGCAATCAAACTATCACTTTCGGGGAGGGGGAAAAGGGGGGGAATAGCGGGAACTGGACTTACCCTACCTTAACAAGTAGCCGGCAATGAAACTATTGTTACTATATACTCCCTCGCTACTCCTATCTATTGAACTTTTCCCTCACAGTACGTAGTTGGATGACACAGTAAATGTACAGTATCTACAAGTTCTTTACTTCTTTGCCATTTCAAATACAGTGGACCCCCGGTTAACGATATTTTTTCATTCCAGAAGTATGTTCAGGTGCCAGTACTGACCGAATTTGTTCCCATAAGGAATATTGTGAAGTAGATTAGTCCATTTCAGACCCCCAAACATGCACGTACAAACGCACTTACATAAATACACTTACATAATTGGTCGCATTGGGAGGTGATCGTTAAGCGGGGGTCCACTGTATTGTAAAAGCTTGGTGAAATGTGCATGTCATTGCCATTTTCCATTTATTATTTATATCCCACTGCAAGCTTTATGTTAATCTTGCATAAAGGCCAAAGAGATATATTAGAGATGCCTGCATTTTTGGTCATGATCTAATGCCCGTAATTGAGAAACACAAATAAAGTATCATGGCATTAACCCTTTAACTGTTCAGACCGCTGAAATTAATATTTCTCTCAGTGTCCACTTTAAAAAAAGAAACCTGAAATGGTGGAGAATCTTTCTCTAAAGATAATAACACCAGTAAGTATGAAATTTGATAGAAAACTTGCAGAATTACACAGGCATAAATTTAGCGATCTCAGCACAGTTTGTGCATTGGCAGTTTCGCCAACTTTGAGTCCTATTCTAAGCCAATTCCTTTTGACCAAATTCTTAGTTATTTCATTAGTATGCCGTCCTTTTATTAATTGAACACAAGAAACCACCCATTCAACTATTTCAACTGTTGTTTGCGGTGTACAGAGGGTGGTAATTTGGCCAATTTTATACTAAATTAAAAAATACCAATTAACACCTTGACTGTCGCAACCCCAAATCCTGAGGTGTCTCATGGTGTCGAAAAATTTCCAAAAAAAAAAAAAAAAAAAAAATTCTTATGAAATGATAGAGAATCTGTTCCCGATTGTATTGACACCAAAAGAAAGAAATTTGATGGCAAACTGATGGAATTATGCTCTTGCAAAGTTAGTGACTTCGGCGATATGGACAAATCGACGATTTCGCCCACTTTGAGCCCTATTTTCGGCTAATTCCATTGTTCCAGTCGACCAAACTCATAGCTATTTCTTTATAACTCTGTTTTTTCTATCAATTGAGTACAATTGAGAACTGCCAATTTACCGATTTCAACTACCCAATAACATGGTCAGAAATTTGCAATTTGGCCAATTTCACGAAAATTAAAAAATATGACAATTTCAAAATAGGGTCCAGAATGAACAATGCAGACATTCCTGGCTCTAAAATAACATTTTCTTTGTTCATCAGTCATGTTTCCAGGCTCCTCTGATATTACTCTTGCTTTCTATGTTGAATTTTTATTCAAACAAAAAATAGAAGATTTACTGTTATGGAGAGTACTGCAATATTGTAATTGTATAAATAATGTCAACTCATTCATGACTGCATATTAGAGGCTACTTGGACATTTATTGGAAAATGACATCATTTGTTTACTTTTGAACATCAGCAAAAATCAAACATTTCCTCTACTTTGTGCTCCATTTCAAGGTTCTTTTCATAGTAAAACCAATCAAAATCACCTCTATTTCTATAATATGTTTTCCATTCTATCAAATGAGACGAAGAAAACAAGAATACAACCATAAATACTACGAAAATAGACCACAAAGTCGGCATTTTAATTGAAAAAAAACGGTCGGAGTTTTTTTTCTCATGCACTGCGTGCTGCAGGATTTTTTTTATATAGTGCACACTGACCACACAGACCCATTCTCTCATATGTGGGCCTACCAGCTTTCTCCTGCTTGATTTGAAGCCACTAGAATTTATGAGTATATGTACGTCAAAAACGGTGGCTCTTAAGACATATATACGACCAGAACAGTCAGAGGGTTAAGAGAGTCCAAAATAAGTTATGTACATATTCCTGACACTAAAAAATTTCCTCTGTTCATTAATCATGTCCCCAGGCCTCTTCTATATTACACTTACCTTCCATTTTAAATTCTTAACCCTTTGACTGTTTCGGTCGTATATATATGTCTTACGAGCCACCATGTTTGACGTATATATACTTTGTCTACTGGAACAATGGAATTAGCCGAAAATAGGGCTCAAAATGGGCGAAATCGCAGATTCGTAAATATCGCGGAGGTCGCTAACTTTGTGAGAGTGTAATTCCATAAGTTTTCCATCAAATTTCATTCTTTTGGTGTCATTATCATCGGGAATAGATTCTCTATCATTTCATAAGATTTTTTTTTTCTTTTTCTTTTTAAAATTTTTTTGACACCAGGAGACTTTTCAGGATTTGGGGTTGTAACAGTCATGGGGTTAATCACAAAAATAGAAGCTTTACTCTATTTCTTGGATAATAAAATGTAACTAGCAATGATTGGTTAGGGTTTACACTGTTACAGTAATTCAGTTTGGCCTATTAAAAGCCCATAACATCAGGAATATCAGTGAAATAAAATATTTCTGCTACTTTGATTTCGATTTCAAGGTATTTCTGGTCCTGAAATCAATCAAAATCATATTTATTTCAGTAGTATGTCTTCCATTCTATAAAATGATACAAGAAACAGCCAATACAACAATAAAAACCTGAGAAAACACCCAAAAGTCGCTATTTTAAGTTGTTTACACAGCCAGAGATTTTTTTCAATCTCGTATTGCGCAATGTGGAGCAGGATTTTTTTTTATACTCTGCATACATATTCTCTCATATTTAGGTCAAAATTTACCATTCACAGCTTATCTGTGTGAGCTGAGCTAATGACATAGTATTAGGCGAGGGATCCCTGGCTTCAATGATGTAGCTTTACGCGACGTCCAGTGAATGGGTTAATGTGTTTGCTTATTAGAGGGAAGAGAGGCAGGAGGTCTAGATCTTTAACCCTTTCAGGGTCCAAGGCCCAAATCTGGAGTCACGCACCAGTGTCCAAGAATTTTCAAAAAAAAAATTTGTTATTTTTTCTTATGAAATCGTAGAGAATCTTTTTGTGAAGGTAATAAAACAAAAAGTACGAAATTTGATGGAAAATTGACGAAATTATGCTCTCGCGAATTTTGATGTGTCAGCGATATTTACGAATCGGCGATTTTGCCGACTTTGACTCCCATTTTAGGCCAATTACATTATTCCAATCAACCAAATTCTTAGCTATTTCACTAGTATTACTTCTATTCTATCGATTGAGCACAAGAAATCGCCAAGTCAACTGTTTCAACTACAAAATAAAGTGATCGGAAATTGTTAATTTGGCCAATTTAACACAAAGTTTAAAATATTCCAATTTCAAAATAGGGTCCAGAATGAACAATGTAGGCATTCCTGGCACTAAACTAACATTTCCTCTATTCATTAGTTATGTTTTGAGGCTTTACAAATAAATTCCATTTTGATTTTTTATTCACATAATGAATTTTTATTCACACCAAAAAATAGAAGATTTACTGTTATGCAATACTGTAATAATTGTATAAATATCATCACCATATTTGTGAATGTATATTAGACCCACCAGCTGACGTGTATTAGACGTGTGAGGTCGTTTGTTTACTCTTGAATATCGGCAAAAATTTAACATTTCTGCTACTTTGAGCTCAGTTTCAAGCCATTTCCAGTGCTAAAACCAATCAAAATCATCTCTATTTCTGTAATATGTCTTCCATTCTATCAAATGAGACCAAGAAATCGCAAATACAACTATAAAAAACATACGAAAAAACACTGCAAAGTTGCTGTTTTAATCGAAAAATCATGATTTCATTTTTTTTCTCTCATTATACACAGTGTGCTGCAGGATCTGTTTTATGTGGTGCACACTTACCACATAGATGTATTCTCTCATATCTAGGCCCAAATGTACCATTCCCAGTTTATCAGAGTGAGCTGAGCTCATGGCGTAGATCTACGGTTTGGACCCTGAACGTAAAGCCGTAGATCTACGGGACGGACCCTGAAAGGGTTAAATGCATTCTTTATGAATGAGCAAGGTATGTTATTTATTGGAAGATGGGGATAGCAATGATTGAGTTACTTTTGTTTTGTTTGAGATAGGTATTATGTGATGCTGTTTAAAAAATGAATTTCCTTGAGCACTGCACCTAAATGCTTCATAGCCCAGAAATTGCATAATATCTATATATTTTTTCTTAAACTCACAAATCATTTTCAAAATTAAACATATAAACAAAATCCTGCTTCAAATTTTTTATGTACTGCATACATAGTTATATTAAAAGTACTTGTATGATTGTAACGGTTCTTCATCAGCTGCTGTTTAACTGCTTAAGGGTTTCATGGGCATCCTCAGCAGACACACCTGAGAAAAAACTTTTCCCTTTGGGGGATACTTAGTGTCATCACAAAACATAGCTACCACAAGTTTTTTAAAAAGCTCTACATGTTTGGTCCAAATCAGTTTATTTAAGGTAAAATTTACAGCACATTTTACTAAAAAGTGTGTAGATTCAAAACTTAGATTAAATTTTTTTTTTTTTTGGGATGCTGGCCCTTTCCCCCCCTAGGCAGGGTGGCCCAAAAAAGAAGAAACACTTAGAGTATATCTAATTCTTTCAACAAACCGGCCATATCCCACTGAAGCAGGTTGGCCCCAAAAAATTAAAACAAAAATTTCTCTTTTAGATTAGTAATATATACGGAGAAGGGGTTTCTTGCCCCTCGCTCCCAGCATTTTCAGTTGCCTCTGATGACACATGGCTTACTGAGAAAGAATTCTGTTCCACTTCCCCGTGGAGATAAGAGGAAATAAGCAAGAACAAGAACTAGTAAGAAAGTAGAAGAAAACCCAGAGAGGGGTGTGTGTATATTCGCTTGTACATGCACGTGTAGTGTGACCTAAGTGTAAGTAGAAGTAGTAGCACACACCTGAAATCTTGCATGTTTATGAGACAGAAAAAAAGACACCAGCAATCCTATCATCATGTAAAACAATTACAGGCTTTCGTTTTACACTCACATGGCAGGACGGTAGTACCTCCCTGGGCAGTTGCTGTCTACCACCCTACTAAGTACCTAGAACTTGGGTTACATATTTTGCATAAATACAGTACAGTGGACCCCCGCATACCGTTGGCATCACATAACGTTAAATCCGCATACCGATACATTTTATCGCTAAGATTTTGCCTCGCATACCGCTAAAAAACCCGCTCAACACTATTCGTCCGAGACGCGTCTAATGTGCGGCCTGAGCCAGCCTCTCATGTTCCGCCGGTGGCATTGTTTACAAGCCAACCTCCGCGGTAACATCCAAGCATACAATCGTAACATTTCGTATTATTACAGCGTTTTTGGTGATTTTATCTGCAAAATAAGTGACCATGGGCCCCAAGAAAGCTTCTAGTGCCAACCCTGTGGTAAAAAGGGTGAGAAATATTATCGAAATACTGTGGTACCATGGTCAACTGCTGCTGCTGCTGCTGCTGTAGCACTGTCAGCTGCTGCTGTACCACCGTCAGCTGCTGCTGCTTCTGTAGTACCGTCTGCTGCTGCTGCTGTAGTACCGTCTGCTGCTGCTGTAGCACTGTCAGCTGCTGCTGCGCTGTAGCACTGTCAGCTGCTGTGTAGCACCCTCAGCTGCTGCTGCTGCTGCTGTACCACCGTCATGCTGCTGCTGCTGCTGTAGTACCGTCTGCTTGCTGCTGCTGCTGCTGTAGTACCGTCTGCTGCTGCTGTAGCATCGTCTGCTGCTGCTGTAGCATTGTCTGCTGCTGCTGTAGCACTGTCAGCTGCTGCTGCTGCAGCACTGTCAGCTGCTGCTGCTGCTGCTGTAGCACCGTCAGCTGCTGCTGCTGCTGTACCACCGTCAGCTGCTGCTGCTGCTGTAGTACCGTCTGCTGCTGCTGTAGCATCGTCTGCTGCTGCTGTAGCACTGTCAGCTGCTGCTGCTGCTGCACTGTCAGCTGCTGCTGTAGCACTGTCAGCTGCTGCTGTACCACCGTCAGCTGCTGCTGCTGCTGTAGTACCGTCTGCTGCTGCTGTAGTACCGTCTGCTGCTGCTGTAGCATCGTCTGCTGCTGCTGTAGCACTGTCAGCTGCTGCCGCTGCTGCTGCTGTAGTACCGTTGTTGGTGTGGCTTATTGAGAATACCAAGAAACAATTAACCCCAGAGGGTTAGTCACCCAGGATAACCCAAAAAAGTCATTGTCATCGAAGACTGTCTAACTTATTTCCATTGGGGTCCTTAATCTTGTCTCCCAGGATGCAACCCACACCAGTCGACTAACACCCAGGTGAACAGGGAAAAACGCCTGGAACTAGTGCTCATATTGGTGAATTTAAAGCCAGCAAAGGTTGGTTTGAGAGATTTAAGAATCGTAGTGGCATATACAGTGTGATAAGGCCTGTTCTGGAAGAAAATACCAAACAGGACCTACAGTATCTCAGGAGGAAAAGGCACTCCCAGGACACAGTGTCTCATCAGTCATTGCTGCATCTTCAATAAAGGTAAGTGTCATTTATTCTTCATTTAGTAGAGTAGTACATGCCCAATATATATTGTGCATGTACTACTCTACTATTGTGCATGTATCCTTCTCTTTGTGTGTAGGAAAATGTATATTTCATGTGGTAAAAAATTTTTTTTCATACTTTTGGGTGTCTTGCACGGATTAATTTGATTTCCATTATTTCTTATGGGGAAAAATTCATTCGCATAACGATAATTTCGCATAACAATGAGCTCTCAGGAACGGATTAATATCGTTATGCGGGGGTCCACTGTACTATCATTCGTTTGTCTTATTATGCTAATAGTTAATTGGAGTTACAGATCCTCTAAGTATCCTAAAAAAAAATTACTGATATTATTCTTTTCCACTTGGAATGGGAGGAGATGATTGGAAAGGCAGGTGAATAGACTGAAAAAGTGGAAAAGAAGGTCTTTTTTTTTTTTTTTTAGACCTGGTCATTATTTAGAAAAGATTTTGTGTAAACCATTCTTAAGGATGTCTCTAATAAAATATTTGTGATATTTGAAGGAGTTTATTTTTCCTTTTGTTCAGGCCTCAGATAATAACTGTAGCACGATCTCACATTGGCAAGGAATATAATGAGGAGGCATGGACATTGCTGGCACTGATTTCAAATTATGTCACTGTGAAGGATGCTACTTTTGCTGTGGACTACTTTGAAGAACACTGTCAAGTCAATTCAGAGGCAAGTACAATTTAGTATTGATTATTACTAAAATATTACAGATGACTAGAAAAATTAGGTAAATGTTTTTTCTCTCATGGTTCTGCATGCACTTGTGTTTCTTAAAACATAATCAACTTGCTCTACTTTTATTTATTTTCTTTTTTCTTTTTTATTTATTTTGATAATTATTAACACTTTTATATGGGTGTTCAGCATGGGCTTTAAGCATTGCAGCAAGGAGGAAGCTGGAGGCAGTAAGGATGGTATGTTTGAGGCAGTGTGTGGTGTAGCTATTATGCAGAATGGGTTGTAGTATCTGGTGTAATAATTATTTTTGGAGGTGAGCCTTAGATTTATTAGGTAGAAATAAATGGTATAATTTTTTTTTTTTAACAAGTCATCCGTCTCCCACTAAGGCAAGGTGACCCAAAAAGAAAGAAAATCCCCAAAAAGAAAATACTTTCATCATCATTCAACACTTTCACCTCACTCACACATAATCACTGTTTTTGCAGAGGTGCTCAGAATACAACAGTTTAGAAATATATATGTATAAAGATACACAACACATTCCTCTAAACTACCAATATCTCAAACCCCTCCTTTAAAGTGCAGGCATTGTACTTCCCATTTCCATCGCCCACAAAACCTTTACCCCCTCCCTCCAACCTTTTCGAGAACGACTCCTACCCCGCCTTCCTTTTTTTAGTTTAATATGTTTATTATGCACCCCATACCCATCCTGTGGGCGGTAGTCAAAAGATTACAGAGGTACATAATGGGTCCAGGGACTGGGCCTCAAAGTTTTGTTAGCTGAGCAAGTTACAGAGGTAATGAATTCACAATTTACAAAGGTAATGAACTCACAATTTACAAAGGTAATGAACTCCAGGTAGGTCTAGTCACAATCATGACAAGCTACAAAGGTATTTACAGATTACAGTGGTACATAATGGGTCCAGGGACTGGGCCCCAAAGTTTTGATAGCTGAACTAGGTACAAAGATAATGAACTCACAGTTACAAAGCCTTCCTTTCCCTACAGATTTATATGCTCTCCATGTCATTCTACTTTGATCTATTCTCTCTAAATGACCAAACCACCTCAACAACCCCTCTTCAGCCCTCTGATTAACCCTTTGACTGTTTTGGTCGTATATATACGTCTTACGAGCCAGTGTTTCGGATGTATTAAGAGCGGCTTCAAATCAAGCAGGAGAAAGATGGTAAGCCCACATGCGAGAGAATGGGTCTGTGTGGTCAGTGTGGACCACATAAAAAAAATCCTGCAGCACGCAGTGCATAATGAGAAAAAAAAACTGACCGTTTTTTTGGATTAAAACACCGACTCTGAGGTGTATTTTTATATAGTATTTATTGTTGTATTCTAGTTTTCATGGTCTCACACGATAAAATGGAAAACATATTACAGAAACAGAGATGATTTTGATTAGTTTCACAATGAAAACGACCTTGAAATTGAGCTCAAAGTAGCAGAAATGTTTGATTTTTACCAATGTTCAGGAGTAAGCAAATCACACCACACGTCCAATACACATCAGCTGGGGAATCTAATATTCTTTCACTAGTGCACTGATATTATTTATACCATGCAGTGGTCTGCATAACAGTAAATTTTGTATTTTTTGTATGAATAAAAAATCAAAATAGAAAGCAATAGCAATATAAGAGGGGCCTAGAGATATGACTAAGGAACAGAGGATATGTTATTTTAGTGCCAAGAATGTTTACATTGTTTATTCTGGACCCTATTTTGAAATTGGCATCTTTTTTAATTTGCATGAAATTGGCCAAATTGCCAATTTCTGACCACTTTATTGGGTAGTTCAAATTGGTAAATGGGCAGTTTCTTGTACTCAACTGATAGAAAAAATGGAGTTCTAAAGAAATAGCTGAGTTTGGTCAACTGGAACAATGGCATTGGCCAAAAACAGGGCTCAAAGTCGGCGAAATAGCCGATGCGTATATGCTGACGAGACCGCTAACTTCGCGGGAGCATAATTCTGTGAGATTTTGACCAAATTTTGTACTTTTGGTGTCATTACCATCGGGAAAAGATTCTGTATCATTTCATAAGAAAAAGTAATTTTTTTTTTTTTTTCCAAAAATTTTGTGACATAGAATGACAGTTTCAGAAAGGGGCTTGCAACAGTCAAAGGGTTAATACTTTTATTAGCTCAACACCTTCTCCTAATTTCCACACTGAATTTTCTGCATAATATTTACACCACACATTGCCCTTAGACAGGACATCTCCACTGCCTCCTACCGCCTCCTCGCTGCAGCATTTACAACCCAAGCTTCACTCATATAAGAGTGTTGGTACTACTATACTTTCATACATTCCCTTCTTTGCCTCCATAGATAGCGTTTTTTGTCTCCACATATACCTTAACACACCACTCGCCTTTTTTCCTTCATCAATTTTATGATTAACCTCACACAATGGAAAAATAAACTCAGAAGCAGTATAATGTCATCCTTTATTGACAACGTTTTGCCCACACAGTGGACTTTTATGAAGTCACAAACAGATCTAAATTGTTACATGCAGGCTCAGATCAAACCTGCCCAGCATTCTCCACCTGACTCCATCCTATATACTATAATCACGTACCTTTCACCCAGGTAAATCTGTTTGTAACTTGATAAAGCCCACTGTGTGTGCAAAATGTTGTCAGTAAAGGATCACATTATACTGCTTCTATGTTTATTTTTCCAGATTTATTAGGTATATGGTGCATCAGTGTGGTAGAGCTCGCCCATGCCAGGCAAAGTCCTAGTGAGTTAGGCACAAGAGTATCATTCAGAGAGCTGAGAAGGGGCTTTTGAGGTGGTTTAGCCATTTAGAGAGGATGGAGCTAAATAAGGTGACTAAATAAGATTTATAAATCTGGTGTGAAAGAAGGGAGGGATAAGGAGCCTCTATGGAAAGGTTAGTGTGTGATGGATAAAGGAGGTTTTGAGTGCTATGTTGACATCCCATAGGCATGTGTGAGCTTGTAGTGAGTGGAGGTAAGTGGGCTTTATGACTTGATGTATTATTTGAACAAAGGGATATTTATGAAAGGGACTCTGGTAAACCAGTTAGCTGGACGTAGTCCCAAAGGTAGGAGGTACAGTGCCTGCACTCTGAGAGAAGGGTGTGTATGTTATAATCTGGAGAGTTGTCTGAATTTTGATGTCACCACTCAGCAATTGAATGACACTGACACTGAATTTTTTTTTTTTAGGTGTTGGTTTGTCTTTTTGTTGTTCTAGTGCTAATTGTTTGTACATTGAGAAACCCCTTATATGAGTGTCTATGGAAAATATGAATGGAGGAACACTGCAGCAGGCAGGCTTACTAGCCTATACTACTAGGTAGGTTTTCGAGTTATAAATACTTAAATTTTAAATGAGTTTCAGGAATGTGTCTTTTTTTTTTTTTGCGAAAAGGGAACACACTACGTAATTACTGTCATCGTCTTATTCTAATCAAGTTTCACTCATCAAAACTATATCCAATTTTACCCATGAATTTTAATTTTTTCTCAGGTAGGATCATACACTCTTCTACAAGTATTAAAAGTGTTAAGCAACAGTATCAAGCATATACCTGGGAATCGTGCAGAAGCCTTACAAGAACAACTTTTGGCACCTATCACAAATTTCTCTGTTGGTGCAGAGCTCATATCCCATATGATGGATACTATAACACTTCTCAGCTACAGTCTTCATGGTGATGATGCAGAAGGTGTGAGAATTCCTCTTATGTGCAAATCATTTATATTTTTTAGTGTAATATTTGAATAATGTGGATTAAAAAAAAGTATGTATATTTCAGTGTTCAAATGATCAAGCAGAATATCCTGATATCCCAAAATATCTCCTGCCAGTTATATGTACTTGCATATCTTACGAGAGAAACAGTGGTAGGAATAAATATCCAAGTTGTTCCCTTCCTTTCTCTCTTTTAATCTTCTGCAGTGAAGAAGTGAGTACTCTCTTATTTGTACTGTGTATTAAAGTGTAAACGTATTGGGAAAGTGTAGGAAAGAATTTTTAGTGTGCGGATTATATGGAGGAATGTGAGAGTGAGTTATAGGGGTGTACAAGTTGTTTGGGTATGTAAGAGTTATTTCTTGTAGGTAGGAGTATGAGATTCTGTGTGAATGATGGTGAGAGCGTTTTTCTTTTTTGGGATACCCTGCCTTGGTGGGAGATGGCCGACGTGTTGGAAAAAAAAAAAAAGGAGTATGAGGTGTATAGGCATAAGCTGGGTTGCTGAGGAGTATGTTGGTTTGTGTAGCTACAATAGCAGATCTGTATTCTTCAATATTGAATGTACTTTACAAAAGTTTCCAATTGTAGCATTTACTGCCTTCTCTTATATAGCATTTCTATGTTCATTCATTGTTTGTGAGGGAAAAACTTTGTACTGTAGTATCCTTTCAATTGCAGTTGACATAAATGCAGAGGAAAGCTTATTGGGCTTTGCATTTGTCTCGCTCAATCCTGTTGGCTATATGCCAGCTTGTTCCATAATATCCATAATATCTCTGAGTTAGGAAGTTTTCTTTGTCAATTTTTTCATGTTCTTTTATAATCTTAAATGTGGTTATCATATCCTATTTTTCTTCTGCCAACTGAAGACAACATATCCAGTGTTTTCAGAATTTCTTCCTGACTCATTTATAACTCTTGGGTCATTTCATAACTAGATATACCCTGTAGATGTGTATACAGAACGAGTAATTGTTTTAAATAAATCTCATCAACTGGTATCATTTCTTCCTCAGTAAGTCATGCATGTCGTAAGAGGCAACTAACATGCCAGGAGCAAGGGGCTAGTAACCCTTTCTCCTGTATACATTACTAAAGTTAAAAAGAAACTTTCATTTTTCTTTTTAGGGCACTCTGCCTCAGTGATCTTCAGAACAGTGCCAGAAAAGGCATCGGAGAGCTTAAGAACTGTTACACCCAGTAATATATGTCTTGGTGGAGATTCAATACAGAACACCCACAGACCATCTCATAGAGCATGGGGAACAAGTAAAAGACCTAGGAATAATTGCTGTAAGAGATAACCAAAATGCCGGGAACAAGGAGCTAGTAACCCCTTCTGTATATATTACTAAATTTAAAAGGAGAAACTTTTGTTTGTCCTTTTGGGCCACCCTGCCTTAGTGGGAATTGGCTGGCTTGTTAAAATTTCTGTATAATGTACAGTTTTTTATAAATAAGCATAATACCTGTATATACTTTATATTTTTTTTAACACTGCAGCAGTTTACCCCCATGGCAGGGTGACCTGAAAAGCAAATAGGATTTTGACTTGACATACTATTTGAGTGTGAGCAAGGTAATGTTTATGAAGGGATTTGGGGAAACCAGTTAGCTGGATTTGAGTCCTGGAGGTGGGAAGTACAGTGCCTGCACTCTGAAGGAGGTATGGGATGCTGCATTTTGGGGGGTCATGTGAACTAATGTATTTCTTCTGTCAAAACGGTAATTGAATGAGTGATGGTGGAAGTCTTTCTGCTTTTTTGAGTGCCTTACCTCAGTTAATCCTTTTGCTGACTGCCATAGTATTACTGCTTTGAGGTCACTGTCAGTGTTGTAGTACCATGCCATGAGTTCAGCTTATTCAGATAAGCTGTGAGTGGTAAATTTGGACCTGGATATGAGAGAATGGGTTTGTGTGATAAGTGTATACCATATAAAAAAATCTTGCAGCACACAGTGCATAATGAAAAAAAACTCTGACCATATTTTTTGTTTAAAATAGCGAATTTGTAGTTTATTTTCATATATTTATGTTTGTATTCTCAGTTTCTTGGTCTCATTTGATAGAATAGAAGATATGTTACAGAAATAGAGATGATTTTGATTGGTTCCAGGATTGAAAACAGCTTGAAATTGAGCACAAAGCAGCAGTAATGTTAGGTTTTTGCCACTGTTCATGAATGCGCTGATAAATTTTTCAACAAGTCGGCCGTCTCCCACCGAGGCAGGGTGACCCAAAAAAGAAAGAAAATCACCAAAAAGAAAATACTTTCATCATCATTCAACACTTTCACCACACTCACACATTATCACTGTTTTTGCAGAGGTGCTCAGAATACAACAGTTTAGAAGCAAATACGTATAAAGATACACAACATATCCCTCCAAACTGCCAATATCCCAAACCCCTCCTTTAAAGTGCAGGCATTGTACTTCCCTTTTCCAGGACTCAAGTCCGACTATATGAAAATAACCGGTTTCCCTGAATCCCTTCACTAAATATTACCCTGCTCACACTCCAACAGATCGTCAGGTCCCAAGTACCATTCGTCTCCATTCACTCCTATCTAACACGCTCACGCAACCCTTTCAAGGACGACCCTTACCCCGCCTTCCTTCCTCTACAGATTTATATGCTTTCCATGTCATTCTACTTTGATCCATTCTCTCTAAATGACCAAACCACGTCAACAACCCCTCTTCTGCCCTCTGACTAATACTTTTATTAACTCCACACCTTTTCCTAATTTCCACACTCCGAATTTTCTGCATAATATTTACACCACACATTGCCCTTAGACATGACATCTCCACTGCCTCAAACCGTCTCCTCGCTGCTGCATTTACACCCAAGCTTCACATCCATATAAGAGTGTTGGTACAACTATACTTTCATACATTCCCTTCTTTGCCTCCATAGATAACGTTTTTTGACTCCACATATACCTCAACGCACCACTCACCTTTTTTCCCTCATCAGTTTTAGGATTAATCTCATCCTTCATAAATCCATCTGCCAACACGTCAACTCCCAAGTATCTGAAAACATTCACTTCTTCCATACTCCTCCTCCCCAATTTGATATCCAATTTTTCTTTATCTAAATCATTTGATACCCTCATCACCTTACTCTTTTCTATGTTCACTTTCAACTTTCTGCCTTTATACACATTCCCAAACTCATCCACTAACCTTGGCAATTTTTCTTTAGAATCTCCCATAAGCACACTATCATCAGCAAAAAGTAACTGTGTCAATTCCCATTTTGTATTTGATTCCCCATAATTTAATCCCACCCCTCTCCCGAACACCCTAGCATTTACTTCTTTTACAACCCCATCTATAAATATATTAAACAACCATGGTGACATTACACATCCCTGTCTAAGACCTACTTTTACCGGGAAGTAGTCTCCCTCTCTTCTACACACCCTAACCTGAGCCTCACTATCCTCATAAAAACTCTTTACAGCATTTAATAACTTACCACCTATCCCGTATACTTGCAACATCTGCCACATTGCTCCTCTATCCACTCTATCATGTGCCTTTTCTAATTCCATAAATGCAATAAAAACTTCCCTACCCTTATCTAAATACTGTTCACATATATGCTTCAATGTAAACACTTGATCTACACATCCCCTACCCACTCTGAAACCTCCTTGCTCATCCGCAATCCTACATTCTGTCTTACCTCTAATTCTTTCATTTATAACCCTACCGTACACTTTTCCTGGTATACTCAGTAAACTTATTCCTCTATAATTTTTACAATCTCTTTTGTCCCCCTTCCCTTTATATAAAGGGACTATACATGCTCTCCGCCAATCCCTAGGTACCTTCCCCTCTTTCATACATTTATTAAACAAAAGTACCAACCACTCCAACACTATATCCCCCCTTGCTTTTAACATTTCTGTCATGATCCCATCAGTTCCAGCTGCTTTACCTCCTTTCATTCTACATAATGCCTCACGTACCTCCCCCACACTTACATTCTGCACTTCGTCACTCCTAAAAGATGGTATACCTCCCTGGCCAGTGCATGAAATTACCGCCTCCCTTTCTTCCTCAACATTTAAAAGTTCCTCAAAATATTCTTGCCATCTACCTAATACCTCCATCTCCCCATCTAGTAACTCCCCTACTATGTTTTTACTCTGTTTTTAACTGACAAATCCATGCGTGCCCTAGGCTTTCTTAACTTGTTTAACTCCAAAAAATTTTCTTATTTTCATTAAAATTTCTGGACAGTGCCTCTCCCACTCTATCATCTGCTCTCCTTTTGCACTCTCTCACCACTCTCTTCACCTTTCTTTTACTCTCCATATACTCTGCTCTTCTTATAACACTTCTGCTTTGTAAAAACCTCTCATAAGCTAACTTTTTCTCTTTTATCACACCCTTTACTTCATTATTCCACCAATCACTCCTCTTTCCTCCTGCCCCCACCCTCCTATAACCACAAACTTCTGCCCCACATTCTAATACTGCATTTTTAAAACTATTCCAACCCTCTTCAAGCCTCCCAATACTCATCTTTGCACTAGCCCACCTTTCTGCCAATAGTCGCTTATATCTCAACTGAACTTCCTCCTCCCTTAGTTTATACACTTTCACCTCTCTCTTACTTGTTGTTGCCACCTTCCGCTTGTCCCATCTACCTCTTACTCTAACTGTAGCTACAACTAAATAATGGTCTGATATATCAGTGGCTCCTCTATAAACATGTACATCCTGGAGCCTACCCATCAACCTTTTATCCACCAATATATAATCTAGCAAACTACATTATACCTTGTATATTTATTTATCCTCTTTTTCATAAAATATGTATTACTTATTACCAAATCTCTTTCTACACATAGCTCAATTAAAGGCTCCCCATTTACATTTACCCCTGGCACCCCAAATTTACCTACTACTACCTCCATAACATTTTTACCCACTTTAGCATTGAAATCCCCAACCACAAGTACTCTCACACTTGGTTCATAACTCCCCACGCATTCACTCAACATTTCCCAAAATCTCTCTCTCGTCTACACTTCTCTCTTCTCCAGGTGCATATACGCTTACTATAACCCACTTTTCACATCCAACCTTTATTTTACTCCACATAATTCTTGAATGAATACATTTATAGTCCCTCTTTTCCTGCCATAGCTTATCCTTCAACATTATTGCTACTCCTTCTTTAGCTCTAACTCTATTTGAAACCCCTGACCTAATCCCATTTATTCCTCTCTACTGAAACTCTCCCACCCCCTTCAGCTTTGTTTCACTTAAAGCCAGGACATCCAGCTTCTCATTCATAACATCCACAATCATCTCTTTTCTTATCATTTGCACAACATCCACGCACATTCAGACTTTCCACTTTGACAATTTTCTTCTTATTCTTTTTAGTAATCTTTACAGGAAAAGGGGTTACTAGCCCATTGTTCCCGGCATTTTAGTTGGCTTTTACAACACGCATGGCTTACGGAGGAAAGATTCTTATTATTCTTATTCCACTTCCCCATGGATATAAAAGGAAAAGTAATAAGACCAAGAACTATTAAGATAAAGTCAAAGAAAACTCAAATGAGTGTGTATAAATAAACGTGTACATGTATGTGTAGTGTGACCTGAGTGTAAGTATAAGTAGCAAGACATACCTGTAATCTTGCATATTTATGAGACAGACAAAGGACACCAGCAGTCCTACCATCATGTAAAACAATTACAGGCTTTCGTTTTACACTCACTTGGCAGGATGGTAGTACCTCCTTGGGCGGTTGCTGTCTATCAACCTACTACTATTTATACAGTTATTAAAATATTGCATAACAGCAAATCTTCTATTTTTTGTGTGAATAAAAAAATTTTTGTGAATAAAAAATGAAAATGAAATTCATTTGTAAAGCCTAGGAATGTAACAAATGAACAGAGGAAATGTTATTTTAGTGCCAGGACTACCTGCATTGCTTATTCTAAACCCTACTTTGAAATTTGAATATTTTTTAATTTGTGTGAAATTGGCAAAATTACCAATTTCTAATCATTTATTGGTTAGTTGAAATAGTTGATTGGGCTATTTCTTGTGCTCATTCAGTAAAATGAAAGACATACAGGCAAAATATTTAAGAATTGGGTCGACTGGAACAATGTAATTGGCCTAAAATTGGACTCAAAGTGGGTAAGAAGCACCAATGCATAAATATTGCTGATGCAACAAAATTTGCAAGAGCATAATTTTATCAGTTTTCCAACAAATTTCATTCATTTTTTTTATTACCCTCAGAAAAACATTCTTAAGAAAAAATAATTTTTTTTTTTTAAATTCTTGGACATTGTGGACAAGTTTCTGATTGGGGGTCTGGACAGTTAAAGGGTTAAACATGGCATGTGTTAAGAAAAAAAAAAGTATAGAAAATCACAGATTCCTTTGTCAAATACACAATACACAAATAACCTGCACATAAAAGAGAGAAGCTTACAACGACGTTTCGGTCCGACTTGGACCATTGACAAAGTCACACTTTGTCAAATGCTTGCACAATTGACTTTAATGCTTTGATCACTGAATAATTAATTTAACCCTAGTGATCAAACTATGTTCTCATTTTGCTTTTTGCATTATACTGTAGTAAAAAAATGGTGAAAGATATCCAATCCATTGAAGCTTTTATTGGTACACTGTTGAAATTAATTTATAGCCTTATGGAATTTACAAGTGGGTGAAACATTGTATCAATAAAGGCTTCACTGCATTAAGAGTCTTTTACTACTTGTTTGCATTACACTTTATTGAGCATTTAACTTGAAAAAATGTTGATGTATTTCAGGTCAGAAAGCCATTGAGAAATGGGCAGCACCAATTCTGAAGACTTGTGATGAACATCTTAAGTATGTTTTATTTGAGAATTCTGGACCACTGGACAGTATTGGAGAAGAGAAACTTTTTAGGTAATACGATTCAGTGAAATTTTTTCAGAAGTTTATGTTAGAACTTAAGTTACATTAAAAGGTGTGCAAGCAAATAATGTCCTTTGTGTTATAAGGTGATTATATGTGAAGTAATTTGAGGGTAATATATTTTGAGATTTCTTTCTGATGGTTTCTGCAGGCATTTGTTCACCTTGGGAGAAGCATCTATGTTGTGCCCACAAAAAGTCAACAAGAGGATGTTCCTTATGCTTCAAAGTATAATTTTTCACCAGCCTGGAGATAAGTCTACCCCCACAACTATTCCTTCCTCACAGACGCAGAGCTCCCAACCCACCACAATTACCTTTACTCCCTCCATGAGAGTCAAGGTAATTTACTTTGAGTAGCAAAGAGATATAATTGTGTAAGATAAATATTTTCATATAGATAGCAGGTTGGCAGACAGCAACTACCCAGGGAGGTACTGCTGTCTTGTAAAACCTGTAATTGTTTTGCACAATGGTAGGATTGGTGGTGTCTTTTCTGTCTGATAAACACATACAATATCAGGTACATTTTGCTACACTTAGGTCATACTACACATGCATGTACAAGCATGTATATACATACGCCTCTGGATTTTCTTCTGTTTTCTTACTAGTTCTTGTTCTCGTTTATTTCTGCTTATCTCCATGGGGAAGTGGAACAAAATTCTTTCTCAGAAAGCCATGTGTGTCACCAGAGGCAACTGAAAATACCGGGAGCGAGGGGCTAGTAACCCCTTCTCCTGTATATATTACTAAATCTAAAAAGAGAAACTTTTTTTTTTGTGTGTGTGTGTCGGGGGGGGGGGGGAGGCACCCTGTCTCGGTGGGATACGGCCGGTTTGTTGAAGGAAGAAGAAGAAACACACAAGATAACAGGTACATCTTGCTACACTTAGGTCACATTGCACATATGTAAACAAGCATGTGAGTTTTCTTCTATTTTTCTTAATAGATTTTTTTTTATTACACACCGGCTGATTCCCACCAAGGCACGATGGCCCAAAAAAGAAAAACTTTCATCTTCATTCACTTCATCACTGTCTGGCCAGAGGGGTGCTTTACACTACAGTTTATAAAACTGCAACATTAACACCCCTCCTTCAGAGTGCAGACACTGTATGTGTACTTCTAATCTCCGGGACTCGAGTCTGGCACTGCCGGTTTCCTTGAATCCCTTCATAAATGTTACTTTGCTCGCACTCCAACAGCACGTCAAATATTAAAAACCATTGGTTTCCATTCACTCCTATGAGATACACTCATGCATGCTAGCTGGAAGTCCAAGCCCCTCACACAAAACCTCCTTTACGCCCTCCCTCCAACCTTTCCTAGGCTGACCCCTACCCCGCCTTCCCTCCACTACAGTTTTATACACTCTCAAAGTCATTCTGTTTTGTTCCATTCTCTCTACATGTCTGAACCACCTCAACAATCCTTCCTCAGCCCTCTGGACAACAGTTTTGGTAATCCTGCACCTCCTCCTAACTTCCAAACTACGAATTCTCTGCATTATATTCACACCACACATTGCCCTCAGACATGACATCTCCACTGCCTCTAGCTCTCTCCTTACTGCAATATTCATCATCCATTCTTCACACCCATGTAAGAGCGTTGGTAAAATTATACTCATACGTTCTCCTCTTTACTTCGAAGGACAAAGTTCTTTGTCTCCACAGACTCCTAAGTGCACTGCTCACCCTTTTCCCCTCATCAATTCTATGATTCACCTTGTCTTTCATAGACCCACCTGCTGACACGTCCACTCCCAAATATATGAATACATTCACCTCCTCCATACTCTCCCCTCCAATCTGATATCCAATCTTTCGTCACCTAATCTTTTTGTTATCCTCATAACCTTACTCTTTCCTATATTCACTTTTAATTTTCTTTTACATACCCTACCAAATTCATCCACCAACCTCTGCAACTTCTCTCCAGAATCTCCCAAGAGAACAGTGTCATCAGCAAAAAGCAACTGTGACAACTCCCACTTTGTGTTTGATTCTCTATCTTTTAACTCCACACCTCTTGCCAAGACCCTTGCATTCACATCTCTTACAACCCCATCTATAAATATATTGAACAACCATGTTGACATCACACATCCTTGTCTAAGGCCTACTTATACTGGGAAATAATCTCCCACTTTCCTACATACTCTAACCTGAGCCTCACTATCCTCGGAAAAACTCTTCACTGCTTTCAGTAACTTACCTCCTATACCATACACCTGCAGCATCTGCCACATTGCCCCCCTATCCACCCTGTCATATGCCTTTTCCAAATCCATAAATGCCACAAAAAACCTCTTTACCCTTATCTAAATACTGTTCACTTATATGTTTCATTATAAACACTTGGTCTACACACCCCCTACCTTTCCTAAAGCCTCCTTGTTCATCTGCTATCCTACTCTCCATCTTACTCTTAATTCTTTCAATAATAACTCTACCATACACTTTACCAGGTATACTTGACAGACTACTACTTCTTTCAACAAACTGGCCGTATCCCACCGAGGCAGAGTGGCCCAAAAAGAAAAACGAAAGTTTCTCTTTTTTAAATTTAGTAATTTGTACAGAAGGGATTACTAGTCCCTTGCTTCTGGCATTTTAGTTGCTTCACTCGACAGACTTATTCCCCTATAATTTTTGCACTCTCTTTTGTCCTCTTTGCCTTTATACAAAGGAACTATGCATGTTCTCTGCCAATCCCTAGGTACCTTACCCTCTTCCATACATTTATTAAATAATAACACCAACCACTCCAAAACTATATCTGCACCTGCTTTTAACATTTCTATCTTTATCCCATCAATCCCAGCTGCCTTACCCCCTTTCATTCTACCCACTGCCTCACGAACTTTCCCCACACTCACAACTGGCTCTTTGTCACTCCTACAAGATGTTATTCCTCCTTGCCCTATACCCGAAATCACAGCTTCCTTATCTTCTTCAACATTTAACAATTCCTCAAATTATTCTCTCCATCTTCCCGATACCTCTAACTCTCCATTTAATAACTCTCCACTCTTGTTTTTAACTGACAAATTCATTTGTTCCCTAAGCTTTCTCAGCTTGTTAATCTCACTGCAAAACTTTTTCCTATTTTCAACAAAATTTGTTGATAACATCTCACCCACTTTCATTTGCTCTCTTTTTACATTGCTTCACCACTCTTTTAGCCTCTCTTTTTCTCTCCATATACTTTTCTCTCCTGGCATCACTTCTACTTTTTAAGAACCTCTCATATGCTAACTTTTTCTCCCTTAGTACTCTCTTTACATCATCATTCCACCAATCACTCTTCTTCCCTCCCGCACCCACTTTCCTGTAACCACAAACTTCTGCTGAATGCTAACACTACATTTTTAACCCTTTGGGGGTCGCCAGGCCCTCTCAGAGACTTGTTCTCAGGGTCGCTAAAATTTCAAAAGAAAGAAAAAAATTATTTTTTCTTATGAAAAAATAGAGAATCTTTACCCGATCATAATGACACCAAAAGTATGAAATTTGTATGAAAACTTACGGAATTATGCTCTCGCGAAGTTAGTGGTCTCGATGATGTTTACGCATCAGCGATTTTGCCCACTTTGAGCCCTATTTTCGGCCAATTCCAGTGTACTAGTCGACAAAAAATCATAACTGTTTCGCTAGAACTCCTTTTTTTTCTATTGAATGAGTACAAGAAACCGCCCATTTTCCGATTTCAACTATCCAATAAAGTGGTCAGAATTTAGCAATTTTGCCAATTGAACACAAATTTCAAAAGATGCCAATTTCCAAATAGGGTCCAGAATAAACAAGCAAGACATTCCTGGCACTAAAATAACATTTTCTCTGTTCATTAGTTACATCTCCAGGCCCCTCTTACACTTTCTTTTGCTTTCCACTTTGATTTTTTATTCTCGCAAAAAAAATAAGATTTACTGTTATGCAGACTACTGCATTAGTGTAGAAATGGTATAAATAATATTGGCGCACTTATGAAAGAATATTAGACTCACCAGTTGACGTGTATTGGACGCTTAGCATGATTTGTTTACTTTTGAACTTTGGTAAAAATCAAACATTTCTGCTACTTTGAGCTCAATTTTAAGGTACTTTTCATTGTAAAACCAGTCAAAATCATCTCAATTTCTGTAATATGTCTTCCATTCTATACAATGAGACCAGGAAAACTAGAATACAACAGTAAATACCATACGAAAATACAGTGCAAAGTCTCTGTTTTAATCCAAAAACACGGTGAAAGTTATTTTTTTCTCATTACTCACTGTTTGCTGCAGGATTTTTTTTATACTGTGCACACTGACCACATAGACCCATTCTTTCATATGTACACCTACCAGCTTTCTCTTGCTAGATTTGAGGACGCTAGAATTTATGCGTACTTGTACGTCAAAAACCCTGGAGCGTAAGCTGTACCAGTACGGCCGAAACCCTGAAAGGGTTAAACCTACCCCATACATCTTCGACCCCATTGCCTATACATACTCCACTAGCCCATCTATCCTCCAATAGTTGTTTATATCTTACCCTAACTGCCTCCTCTTTGAGTATAAACCTTCACCTCTCTCTTGATGCTTCTATTTTCCTTGTATCTCATGTACCTTTTACTCTCACTGTAGCTACAACTAAAAAGTGATCTGGAATATCTGTGGCCCCTATATAAATATGTTCTTGTTTTTATTTATTTTACTCTCATCTCCATGGGGAAATGGAAAAGTATCTTTCTTCCAAAAGCCACTTGTGTCATAAAAGGTGACTAAAATGTCAGGAGCAAGGGGCTGGTATCCCCTTCTCCCATATATTTTTTTTTTCAGCATTGGTTGTCTCCCACCAAGACAGGTGTGACTCATAAAAGAATGGAAAGTTCTTTCTACGTTTAGTAATTTATACAGGAGAAGGGCCACTACCTTCTTACTCTCGGGATATTAATTGCTTCTCATGACACCTACCTTGGTGGGAAACAGCTGGTGTGTTAAAAAAAAAAATTGCAATACACAGTAAATAATGTACAGATGATGAATAATAAAACTTTTACAGGCTCTAGCTGTGGTTACATTAGGCAAGATGTGCTTGCAACATGAGGATCAAGCAAAGCGCATCATTCCTGCTTTGGGAAGAATGCTAGACACAACTAAATATTCAGCTCTCAGGATAAACATTGTCTTCACCTTGTCAGATATGTGTGTCAGGTAGGTATAATATTGAAACCTCTCCTTTGAGTTTAAGCTTTCCTATTCAAGATATTGTAGTAGGTATTTTTTCCTAGAACTTACCTTGCTCTCTCTCAGAGCTCTAAGCATGAGTGTTGTGCTAGTAAAGGAGCAAGATTTCATGTCATTCACTGTAACTCCATCAGCTTAGATATCTTTGTTTTTACATTGTCATTGGTCTGGAAACCATATTTTATAGTTACAATTTTTTTTGCTCTTATTGCTGCTGTGAGACCTCTTTTGGCCTAGGTTCCCAAACTTAGGGATTAATTCTAAAGAGAGCTTTGAGATCATGTTGAAGTCTAGAATAGTTAGCTTTAAATTTTCTTCAATGGCTTTTATAAAGACTTGCCTGTAGTTGTCGCTTATCCTCAGATGAGACTAATCTGTTAATATCGGCCAATCACCAAGCAGCTAATCTGAACAAAAAGATATTTCGTTCACTGAATTTAAAAATATTTTGTGGTCACAAATTTATTTGTCCGGTTGAGGTGTGCGAAAATATGGGTATTGGTAGCACTGGGTTTTGGCCAATTTTGATGGTATCAGCATTGACAGGTAGTGGTAATGGCCTAAAATTAAGTATGAGTATTTGTCAAATAAATTTTGGGATTGTCCTGTCAGTGCATATATTACAGGCATGTTTAATTGTGCAGTGAAAGAGCTGCTTGCAGCATTTTGGATATTTCTTTTCAAGCCAACATAATTCAGAATAGAGGTGGTGATGTTTTAAATTAATATCTTCGCCTGCTGTAACTAGTGTGTAAGTGGTCATCGGATATGGCCCTGGTGGACCAGAATAAGTGCATTATATGTATACCTTATACTGCCTTTTTATTATGAAAATTATACCTTTAATAATGTTTTTATTCATACAGGTATGCAACTTTAGTAGATCCTCTGATGCCTCAGGTTACAGCTTGCCTTCGTGATCCAGATATTAAAGTTCGCCGTACTACATTGACCCTCCTCATCAACCTATTACAAGAGGATTACCTTAAACTGAAAGGATCATTCTTTTACAGAATTTTACAGGTAAGATGCACATCTTACCTGAGGGTAGTGTGAGGGGAAGTCACGCGCGGTCGAGCTCCGTCAAAAATTACTTTTCCTGATAGTCCCAAGTGGGAACAAAGGGCGGGAAATAAGCGTGTGCAACCATAAAGTGATATACTTCCTTGTGAACCAACATAAAAGGAATATCAGTGAACACCAAATAGAAAAATATGGATTACAGTGTCACATGGAGAGTGCTGGTTAGAACAACGGTTACTCTGGAAATAAGCCTGACCAGCACTAGCGAACTATTGCCAGATGTCGACACAAGTGGAAATAAACAAACAGATATTGAACTATCTGTAAGTAATATGGCGAGTGACATATATATGTGTAGTGACATAGTGAAATAAATTGTAGGTACGAGTAATCTAAATTATCCCCAGTACAGTGGACCCTCGCCTAACGCTATTAATCCGTTCCTGAGAGCTCAACGTTAGGCAAAATTATCGTTAGCTGAATTAATTTTCCCCATAAGAAATAATGGAAATCAAATTAATCCGTTCCTGACACCCCAAAGTATGAAGAAAAAAAAATTTTTATGCACACAAACTGAAGAAGACATGCACAGTTACATGACACTTACCTTTATTGAAGATCTGGTGATGACTGATGGGATGGGAGGAGGGGACACTGGATGGTGTTAATGTTTGGAGGGGAATCCCCTTCCATTAGGACTTGAGGTGGCAAGTCCTTTTCCGGGGTTACTTCCCTTCTTTTAATGCCACTAGGACCAGCTTGAGAGTCACTGGACCTCTGTCGCACAACATATCTGTCCATAGAGGCCTGTACCTCCCGTTCCTTTATGACATTCCTAAAGTGTTTCACAACATTGTCAGTGTAATAGTCACCAGCACAGCTTGCAATAGCTGTCTGAGGGTGATTTTCATCAAAAAAGGTTTGCACTTTAAGCCACATTGCACACATTTCCTTAATCTTTGAAGTAGACAACTTCAATTTCTCTATCCCCTCCGGAGCAGTTTCTTCAGGTCTGGCCTCTTGCTGTTGAAGATGATCCAGCAGCTCATCAGTGGTTAGTTTGTCATTGTCCTCCTCCACCAACTCTTCCACATCCTCCTCACTAACCTCCAACCCCAAGGACTTCCCCAATGCCACAATGGATTCCTCAACTGGCATAGGATTCCCAGGGTTAGCCTCAAACCCTTCAAAATCCCTTTTGTCTGCACATTCTGGCCACAATTTCTTCCAAGCAGAGTTCAAGGTCCTCTTAGTCACTTCCTCCCAAGCCTTACCTATAATGTTTACACAACTGAGGATGCTAAAGTTATCTCTCCAAAACTCTTAGAGTCAATTGAGTTTCTGAGGTCACTACAAAGCACCTTTCAGACATAGCTTATGTGTACAGTTTCTTGAAGTTTGCAATAACCTGCTGGTCCATGGGCAGCAGGTTATTGCCACGTCTGAAGGATGACCAGGAGCATTGTCTAATACCAGGAGGCACTTAAGGTCTAATTTCTTTTCAATTAGGTAATTTTTCACAGTGGGGGCAAATGCATGGTGTAACCAGTCATAGAAAAAGTCCCTAGTGACCCATGCCTTACTGTTTGCCCTTCTCAGCACACAGAAATTAGCCTTGAGGACATTGTTTTTCCTGAACACTCTGGGAGTTTCAGAGTGATACACCAATTAACCCCTTCAGGGTCCAAGGCCCAAATCTGAAGTGGTGCCCCAGTGTCCAAGAATTTTCAAAAAAAAAATTTGTTATTTTTTCTTACGAAATGGTAGAGAATCTTTTTGTGAAGGTAATAAAACAAAAAGTACGAAATTTGATGGAAAATTGACGAAATTAAGCTCTCGCGAATTTTGATGTGTCAGCGATATTTGCGAATCGGCGATTTTGCCGACTTTGACTCCCATTTTAGGCCAATTACATTATTCCAGTCAACCAAATTCTTAGCTATTTCACTAGTATTACTTCTATTCTATCGATTGAGCACAAGAAATCGCCAAGTCAACTGTTTCAACTACAAATTAAAGTGATCGGAAATTGTTAATTTGGCCAATTTAACACAAAGTTCAAAATATTCCAATTTCAAAATAGGGTCCAGAATAAACAATGTAGGTATTCCTGGAACTAAACTAACATTTCCTCTGTTCATTAGTTACGTTTTGAGGCTTTACAAATAAATTCCATTTTGATTTTTTATTCACATAATGTATTTTTATTCACACCAAAAAATAGAAGATTTACTGTTATGCAATACTGTAATAATTGTATAAATATCATCACCATATTTGTGAATGCATATTAGACCCACCAGCTGGCGTGTATTAGACGTGTGAGGTCGTTTGTTTACTCTTGAATATCGGCAAAAATTTAACATTTCTGCTACTTTGAGCTCAGTTTCAAGCCATTTCCAGTGCGAAAACCATTCAAAATAATCTCTATTTCTGTAATATGTCTTCCATTCTATCAAATGAGACCAAGAAATCGCAAATAGAACTATAAAAAACATACGAAAAAACACTGCAAAGTCGCTGTTTTAATCGAAAAATCATGATTTCAGTTTTTTTCTCTCATTATACACAACGTACTGCAGGATCTGTTTTATGTGGTGCACACATACTACATAGATGTATTCTCTCATATCTAGGCCCAAATGTACCACTCACAGTTTATCAGAGTGAGCTGAGCTCATGACGTAGATCTACGGTTTGGACCCTGAACGTAAAGCCGTAGATCTACGGGACGGACCCTCAAAGGGTTAAGGCTTCACTTTGCAATCACCACTAGCATTAGCACACATCAACAGAGTAAGCCTGTCTTTCATAGGCTTATGTCCTGGGAGTGCCTTTTCCTCCTGAGTAATGTAGGTCCTGCTTGGCATTTTCTTCCAAAACAGGCCTGTTTTGTCACAGTTAAACACTTGTTCAGGTTTCAGTCCTTCACTGTCTATGTACTCCTTGAATTCCTGCCTCGGTGGGAGACGGGCGACTTGTTGAAAAAAAAAAAAAAAAAATTCAGCTGCTTTGTGGTCCGAACTGGCAGCCTCACCATGCCTTATCACACTATGTATGCCACTACCATTCTTAAATCTCTCAAACCAACCTTTGCTGGCCTTAAATTCACTCACGTCACCACTAGTTGCAGGCATTTTTCTAATTAAATCCTTATGCAACTTCCTAGCCTTTTCACATATGATCGCTTGAGAGATGCTATCTCCTGCTATCTGTTTTTCGTTTATCCACACCAATAACAGTCTCTCAACATCTTCTATCACTTGCGATCTCTGTTTCGAAAACAAAGTTGCACCTTTGGCAAGAACAGCTTCCTTGATTGCCGTTTTTTTGGCCACAATAGCAGCGATGGTTGATTGGGGTTTTGTGTACAACCTGGCCAGCTCGGAGACACGCACTCTGCTTTCATACTTAGCAATGATCTCTTTCTTCATATCTATAGTAATTCTCACCCTTTTTGCTGTAGGGTTGGCACTAGAAGCTTTCTTGGGGCCCATGGTGACTTATTTTGCAGGTGCAATCACTAAAAAGGCTGTGATAATATGAAATGTTCCGATTGTATGCTTGGAAGCGACCGCGGTAGCTGACTTGTAAACACTGGCACCCACGGAACAAGTGAGGCGGGCTCAGGCCGCACGTGGACGCATCTCGAATGAATCACGTTGAGCGAGTTTTTTAGTGCTAGCCGAGGCAAAATTTTTGCGTTAAAATGTATCGCTAGGCGGATTTAACGTTATGCGATGCGTTCGTTAGGCGAGGGGTCCACTGTATAGCGTGAAATATATGGTGTAGCATATGGAAATATTTAAAAGCAACTGGCACTAGCGAACTATTGCCAGAGGTCGAGAGAAGTGGAAATAACGGAGGAATGTTTTCTAGTCAAAAGTAATAAAATGAGTGATGGTAGCATTGAGGTGCAGGGAATCACAGTATAGATAAATTAAGCATACAATGATGAAAAGGCATGAGTCTACTGTGTGACGGGTTTTTCACCGTTACCTCTCCTAAGTTTACTGCTATGGAAGTGCAGGGAAAGTTACCGTAGGCCTAGTGTCGTGTGAACAATATAACCATCCCAGTGTAGTGCAGTGAAAAGAAAAGTGTATCTTGAACGAATGCATTGTATATCCTTGAGATAACCAGTGTACAACACAGTGACAAAATACCAGTGATAAAATAAAAGGAAATAAAATAAAAAACAATTGTGAAGTGTGGCAGTGGTGGGTCAATCTGCTTGTCCTGGTGTTGACATGTGACAAGTGATACACAAAGGTATGAGTTACTACATATAACGAATAGACGAAAAGGATATAAATAGGAGTGATATAGTAAATTGAACTTAAAGATAAGAGTTAATCCTTTTAATCCCGAGTGTAGTGTAAAACTATGGTATAATTATATGGGAACAAGTGCGCAAGTGCCACCCGCACCCCACCTCCAAGCCCCCGCCTCATGCCCCACCCCATTCCCTGGATCCTACCCCCACCCATCCAACAATCCCACCCACGGCCCCCCTCGCACCCTCACCTTCTTTCCACAGACCCCTATCTTCCAGCTTACCACCCCACCGCACAGCCCCCTCCTCCTCGTGTCCCTACCCTCTCCCCAAGGATACCCACCGCCCAGCCCATCCCACCCACCACCAGCCGCACATAATAAATACACCATCCACACATACACCTGTTTAAAAGTAATCATGGCCAGGAATAAAGGCTGTTGTATATGTGAAAAAATCTTTGGGAGAAACATGAGGGGCATTGATGGTTGATTGTGAAATATGTGGTAAAACATCACATATATCATATACAAAGCTTCATGCAACAATGACAAATGACCAAAAACAAGAAAGTCATTTTTGGATTTGCCCCAGTGAAAGGGACAGCTGGTTAAGCATAAGACAGGTCCTGAAAAGTGAAAACCTAGAAAGCATTAAGGAGCTTGCCAGAGTTATACAAAGAGTGGAAAATGGGAAAAGGAAAAAGAAAAGGAGGAACATGCAA